ACAGAGCTAGGTAACCGGGCCCTGAGGTCTTTACCAACAGAGAGGAAAGTGCTCAAAGGCATTGCATTTGTAAGTGTATGCTTTGCTGGTTACAGTTAAGTAAGACACAAGACCTCACTGCATAACAGGTTTATGATCACTTATTAGGTCTCATACCCAAAGACACAGGTCTTCTATTTCTAGAACAAGGGACACTGCACTTGTGACTGCCGTAGCCTAGAGCCTCGCACCATCAGTGTTACAGACAGCCAAGTTAGTGAGAATTACTATAGGTAGTTAGAAAGGTCTAGGCCTTGAAAGGAGTCAGTATAGATATCTTACAACTACAGGTGGAGGAGCATTCATTGAACACCAGACCTCAAGACAAAAGGACTATACATACCTATACACTTCCCTTAGGGATGGACAGCACGGGTACTCCAAATTGGTTACCTTGGGAGGGGAACCACTACCTCCCTTTTAGGAAAAGCCCATGTACACTTGCTATAGGACTTGCTCCCCCATAAATCAATACCTAAGTGATTATCCTCATAGTATTATTGGTTCACCATGGTTTTGTCCCACCTCATGCCCACCCTGATTTCCCATTGGCTCGATGTTCCCTAAGTGACTACACTACGCCAGTAATCTTATTAGTTGGTTATCATTTCTCTCACTGACATCCCTTTCACATGGTGGTTTTACTCTATGAAACTCCCTTGAGAAGTGGGGTCTTGGGCAGCCCACTCAGGACTCCTTCTGTTGCTCTTAGGCAAATGCTTCCTTTTCCCAATAAATACAGCTTGCTTGCTTTCAATAAATACTTTCTGCTCTTAGCCTCTGTCGTTCCTAGAATTCATTCTTCAATTTTAGAGAACACAAACTCGAATTCGAGGTTGGCAGTTATAATATTGCCCTTATTAATAACACTGGACTATCTGGTTAGTTATAATATTGCCCTTACATTATGTTACTGGGTTATTTGGGGGCTCTATGCCATCATGAGCCTTTTCTTTCCTTCATCAGTCACTTATTGATTAAGTCCCCTAAGAGAACACTAACCATCTGACATCCAGACATTTTGCAGTTCTAAGGAAGAAACTATTAAGTATCATAATCACCATAGTTCCCTGAACTGCGGGAGTAACTCTTGTGTACAGGAAAAGGTGTCAAATGCCTGCGCAGGGCAGACGCCACATGGCACTTGTGCAGGCAGACCTCTCTCCGCATCTCTGCTACACTCTGCATGGTTGCCTTGCGTGTCTGGCCTGAATTCCTGCATTACAGGGAAGAGGACCCAGGAGGTTTGTGAGGGCCGGTTCCTCACAGTGGGGACCTGGGATCCTGCTGGCTCCACGTCCAAGTCCTGGCTGATGGCAGCAAGCGGAAGCACTGGGAGGGCTGGGCTCTCTGTGGGGAGCGCCATCACACTCACCCTTTTCTGATTCTGCTGGCTTGATTTCAGACAAAGCTCCTGAGCTTCAGCATCCTGTAGTGTGAGTGAAAGCCTCGCGACTGTAGTGTGAGTGAAAGCCTCGCGACTGCAGTGTGAGTGAAAGCCTCGCGACTGCAGTGTGAGTGAAA